AGAGGTCACCAACCGGACGCTATCTACGCTTTACGAGTTGTGATCAAGAAGAACATCAAGGAGTGGGAGGAATGCTTGCCCATCACCGAGTACGCATACAATCGAGCAAGACACTCTACTACCGGCAGGTCCCCCTCGAGGTCGTCTATGGATTCAATCCATTGTCCCCATTGGACATTCTATCGCTACCTCTACAAGAGCGCATCAACATGGACGCAAGTGCACGAGCAAGCTATCTCAAGAAGGTGCATGAAGATTTAAAGCAAACAATCGAGCGCCAAGTACAACGACTTGCGACCAAGATCAACAACAACAAGCAACCCATGACATTCAACATTGGAGATCTTGTGTCATTACACCTTCGCAAGGACCGCTTCCCCAACGAATGCAAGTCCAAACTACTACCTCAAGTCGACAGACCCTTCAAGGTGCTAGCATGCTACAACAACCATGCATACAAGATCGACATCCCACGCGACAAGTACAACGTGATTGACATCTTCAATGTCACGGATCTATCTCCCTTCCATGGTTCGATCTGAGGTCAGATCTTTCCCAAGGGGGGGATGATGTGGACCTTCCGAAGGTCATCCCCATGGACCTACCTTCATCTCCCCAAGTGCCAAGTGGACCGATGACACGTGCACGTGCAAGAACTCTTGAGACTGAGGTGACATCTCTCCTCTCGCAATTCCCTTTGAAATCGCATGAGACATGGCTACTACCTCAAGCGGGGACACTTTGCATACTCAGGTACCAAGGAACTATCCATGGAGAAGCTAAGGGGCAAGGCCGAACGAAGGAGGAAGAAGAATGTGAAGACGGAGAAGAACAAGTGCAAGTCAGAGGCTCTCCGTATGATCCAGACCTTCCCACTGACGATTCGGATACCACGCACCAAGTGTACAGCAGCCCCCTCGGATCATCTGGACCAGTCCGGACGTCCGAACGACGACCCCGACAACCAGACCCCCTGCAGCGGCTACGGCGCATTCGGATGATCCGGACGGTCGCCCGGATCATCCGACCCCCGAAGACCGGATCATCTGGACCCCTAAAGCCTGGAAGCTCGGTGTGTGTGACTTGGGACGAAGCCCATGTAACTCTACCTACCCTTAGACTATATATACCACTCCTCCGCCCATGTTTTAGGGTTAGCATTGTGATAGTTGAGATAGAGCCTTGCCCAACCACTTATCCCTACTCCTATGGAGACCAAGACCTCCTAGGAGAAGATCCCCAAGTGGATTCAAGACCCCCTTGTGGGAAGATCCTCCTAGGATTCAAGACCTCTTTCCTTCAAGGATTGGGATGAACTAGTTCCCCTTTTGTACCTCCCTTTGTTTACTTTGGATCTTGTATCTCCCCTTTGTGTATATGGATTTAGCACATGTGTGATTGGATCAGGTTGATTTGTGTGTTTTCCTCCCTTGTGTTCTTCGTGTTCTGCGGAAAATCCCCTACTTTTTGTGAAAGAGCGCCCATTAGGGTTCCACCCTAGATCATTGGGTTTACATGAAAACCACCTAGAGAGAAGAACTCACCTCCTAAGCCGAAGACTTCAAGCCAGTAACATTGGTCTGAGGATATGTCTGACGTCCTCGACTTCGAAGACAAGTTCAGGGGCTACTGAAGATGTCCTAGACTATGGGGTACCAACCTAGTTAGCCCACAGTCCATGGGCCAAGTTATGGCCCGCCAATCTCACAAGGAAGGACTCCGAGAGCCTCGAACCCAGACATGATCAAGATGGACACTACCGAAGACTTAGCGTGTACTTCAAGGACTGCTCCACCTGTCGGTATGTTTGTTCCTAGTTGGTAACCGACCATGTGTAACCCTAGATACCCCCGATGCCTATATAAACCAGAGAGTTTAGTCCATAGGATAGAATCACAATTACTAGCCTTAGGGTTTAGAACACAACATATCTTATACTCGATACTCCATCATCAATATAATCAAAGCAGGGTGTAGGGTTTTACCTCTTTGAGAGGGTCCGAACCTAGGTAAATATCGTGCCCCTTGTCTCTTGTTCACCATCGTTCCTAGATCCACAACTCGGGACCCCCACCCGAGATCCATCGGTTTTAGTACCGACGCCAGGAGTACGTGCTCCTGTGCGCAAAAATGTTTTTTGAAATGTCTGAAGAAATCCCAACAAAAATTCTATGTGTTCATAGTCACATCCAAATGCTACCTACACATTTTTAGACAAAAAGGTTAAGCATTTTGGCCTGTGAAAAAAAATCGAACACCAAATGTTACTCCTACATGTCACCTCATTTTTTCACCGATGAAACATTGTTTGCTCCATTTTCGCATGAATATTTTCAATGATGCTTGCAACACTAATGCAAACATCTAAAAAACAGAATTTTTTGAAAACATTTACTATTTTTCGATTACTATTCACGCAGGAGCAAATGCTTCTGGGAGCCAAAACACCTCCGCCTTTTCTAAGGCCACTTATTGATTCATAAGAACAGATGTATACAAACCAATGTAACTATGTGTTAGAAAAGGAGGTGGGATTATTTAATAGGCGGGTGAACGCTTTTCTCTTTTTTCTATCGGAGCTACTTTGTGCAGCCTGGATGGGATGGCCCGTCTAGTCTGGATGCTTGGATCACGTATATATGTATTCTCTCTCTAGCCATTTTGGAGGGTGCTAGTGGAAGGGTGAGATGTACTGAAATAGCGTGTCATCAAAAGAACTGGTAATGGGCAGGACACAAAAATATGGGAGGAGAATTGGATTCCAAGAGATGAAATGATGAGGCTATATGGGTGCACATCCACCAACCCACCTCACTCGGTTTTAGAGTTGATAGATGTCACGACCGCAAGCTGGAATGTACATCGGCTTCGGGAGGTGTTTCTGTCCATCGATGTTACAGCCATTCTCAACATACCTCTCTGTACCAAGAACATTCCTGGCTTCTGGTCATGGAACTTTGGGAACAACAGAATCTTCTTCGCCAGATCTGCCTGCATAATGCTCATACAAACAACGAAGGGAGGCTTGGTTAGAAAATACAACAGGCTCGTCATCATTTGGTCGAGAAGCGGGATCATGGAAGCTTATGTGGAACATCAAAGTACTAGCAAAGGTACGCATGTTTCTCTGGCGATTGTCCAAACATTCCCTGCCAACGAAGGACGTCGGATCTCACAGTAACATGGCAGATTTCAAGTGCATGCGGGTTGTGTGGGACTGAAGACTCTTGGCGACATTCCCTGATGGAATGCTCGATGTCTAGGTGCATTTGGGCGCTAGTGGGTGGAGAAATTGTTGTCATCTCAGAGCGGCCACTGAACCGAGCGCCAAAAACTGGTTGTTCTTGTGATAAACACACTTTCCCATGAAGATTATGTCAGACTTTCGGTGACCCCGTGGGCTATTTAGGCGGAAAGGAGAAAGGCCATTCATGAAGGGATATTTCAATGCCCTCATGCCACACATATTTTCATTGATCGTCTCATCTTAGATCTAGAGATCATAAAGGATCGAAAGCCAGGACCAACCAGTAGAACAGGACAACCAACAACAATGCGAAGGGTTCGACCCAGGGCTCCGCCAGATGGTTTGCCAAAAATCCATGTCGACGCGGGGCCGTCCAATGCAAACCGAAGGGGGTCAGCAGCTACGGTAGCAAGGGACCGGCAAGGAAACTACTTGGGCAGTTCTTCTCTCATCACCCTAGGCCTACATGATCTGGCAGTACTCGAGGCTATTGCATGTTGTGAGGGGATAGTGTTGGTAGAAGAGGATCTTCACAGATTTGTTATCGCATGTGACTCCAAACAGGTAGTTAGAGATATTACAAACAGCGTCATAGGTCGCTACGGGCCTGTCATCTCGAAGATTTAGTCTAGATTGAAAAAACTTTAATTGTATTTTTTAGTTTTGAAGGACGAACGGCAAATGTAAAAGCTCATAGCCTAGCTAGCTTTTCGCTTTCTTTACATAAGGGTCATCACCTATGGCTGTTACAACCCCATCCCACCAAGTGTGGACTTCGATGAATAAAAGTTTGGTTACCCCTCAAGAAAAAATCCTCTAAATACAACATAAACATTAGACCGGTGGTACGGCTATTGCATGTTGACCTGATGACAATGGTGTTGTGTCCAAGTCATGACTTTGACAAATTACTTTTATTACATGGATGGACCAAAGAATTAATAGGTATGCGGAGAGCCCAATAACAACACCAATCAAAATTTAACAAAGCTATTATTAGTTTAAAAATAGGTACGCAGAGAGCCCAATAACAACACCAATTAATTTTTTAACAAAGTCATTATTAGTTTAAACAAGCAAGCGTACCACTTCATATATTATTTTGCAGTGAATTTAGATTGTTATTTGTTGCAATATGTATGCAAATTGTGAACAAGAAATAGGGCTGCTGCAGGAAAAGCTGCTGAGATGTGGGGGGGCTATTTTAATGTTACTGTTGAGATGAACATTCTTTCCCCCAAAAAAAAAAACTCTTTGGTGCCATAAAATTTACTCCGGAAGCTTTTCTATGCCTAAAATACTGCTGCTGCAGGAAATGCTCTGCGACAGAATTACTACGTAGTTCATCAATCCACAACATCAAATTGGTGGAAATCAAAAGAAATGCGGTCCATGCACATGCAAAGACAAGAGGGCTACTGGGACGAAAATTGCGTTTGGCTCCCTGAGCTCAGCTGATGCGAGAGCTATAATCAGCCGGGCGATTTGAAAAATAAATTCCTCAGATAAATATACTATGACTAAAATGTACCGTTCGGACCACCAAACAACAATCCGCAAACCAAGAAAGCTAGTATGTGCAGACGGTTAGGATTCTTTGTATGAGCTTTTGTGCTTCCCTTGTGCACCCAACAGTCACGCACCTTGCTGGTACAGAAAAGCTAACCCAGATAAACAGACTCTTGCCACTACTCTTGAATAGAAGGAGAAAACTGATCCCTTTCTCCCTTGGAATGTCGATTTCTGAAAGATCTCAGCGGTAGCCCCAACCTCTTCCTCGGCCTCCTCTGCCCCGCCCTCTTCCACTGCCTCTTCCACCACCACGGGGTAACCCCTCAAAAGCTCTGTTCACAAGCTGATTGTGCATTCCTCCATCTCCTCGCCCCTTCTTGTTTAAAGGGGCATTCCCATTACTAGCAGGTTGGGTCCTCTTCCCTCTGAAACATCAGCAAACTAGAATTGACTAAAAAGAAATGCAAATTAATCTGAATAAAATTCAACATTTGATAGTGGACATCTAACCCTGCTGTTGCAGCTGCTGGTTTCTTTGGTTGTTCCATCCATGATAGAGTAATTTTCTTATCACTAATGAATAACGGAGATTTCCCATGCAATGGCTGAAATAAAAAAAACAAATCGTCTCATTTAAATTTTAGATGTGAGCAAATAATAGGTTACACTAGTTTCTTCTGAAGCACATAGACAAAGAATAAACAGTACTCCCTCCGTAAACTAATATAAGAGCATTTAGAACACTAAAGTAGTGATCTAAACGCTCTTATATTAGTTTACAGAGGGAGTACACAAGAGCAATATGCTCGTCGACTTCATAGCAAATTCTAAGAAGCTAGTTACAGTTGTACAATTGCTTTTTAGACCTCGAACGCCAAGCAAGAAATTCCAACATGGCTTATATTTTGAAGGTCGAATAAGCTAATATGCCATCTTAAGTATATATAGGCTCTGACACATGGATAAAGGATTTTATGATTAAGGGGCTTAGAAAAATAATACTACAGATAAGCTTGTGCATTTTAACACAATATTAAATAGTATGTCGTTGGTTAACGGGCATATTCAGCGAGGCCCCCAGAAGCGCAGTGCATAGCGGACGGCTAAAGCATGTCGATAATGTCAAGAGAGGTCGGGATAGACCGAACTTGACATGGGAGGAGTCCATAAAGAGGGATCTGAAGGACTGGAGTATCACCAGAGAACTAGCCATGGACAGTGGTGCATGGAAGCTTGCTATCTATGTGCCAGAACAATGAATTGGTTGCGAGATCTTATGAGTTTCACCTCTGCCTACCCCAACAACTTGTTTGAGACTAAAGGCTTTGTTTGTTGTTGTTGTTGTTGTTGTTTGGCTATGGTTTCTTTAATCTTCAGACAAATTATGTATTCCGTACCAAACTATAAGACGTTTTTGTAGGCTAGTTTAGTACTGTTTATTACCCACACCCTCAGATTTTAGCCTTGCATCGTTACATTTAGAACTACATTAATAAGTCAACAGAGGGAGTAAAAACTTGCTCAATATAAACAGGATTGCAGCAAATTGATGTTATTGCAGACATGAGTCAGCCAGGCCGGTGCACACAACAGCAGCAAATGGCATGTCGATGCAAACAGAGATAGTGATGCAAGATAACGAAGAACTAGTTACTAAGAATAGATGTTAGCTTGCAATCCTGCAGAAATCTTCGTAAGTGAAACAAAGAAATTACCTGTGACATTGCCAATATATTATTATAGGACCGCATTGTCATCGTCGATTTTTGCTGATCCGCTTTCTGCAAAAGATATCACATCACTATCAATTGGCACTTTAGCAGGAATTGTAGATGACACATGTGATAAATCTGTGCCATGAAAAATGTTTAGGACAAATTGTGAATGTTATGACAATACAAGGTTCCTGCAGAAATATTATGATGCCGTAATAATGGTAGTATAACATGGCACAAACTAGAGAACGTTCCAATGGAACTAGTAAACCCAAGCATCTAAACTCACGATTTTAGTTTTCTCTTCTTCTGTCTTTGCTGAAGATATTGCCTTGTTGAAATCTGCCATTCCCTGGGTTAGTCTCTTCGAGGCTGCTCGAACCGTGTCTTCCGTTCCAGTTAACCTGTGCATTTGTAACCATCAGAAACACGCTAACATGACAGAAATCATGCTGGAGGAACAAATTTGTGCAAGATAACAATGGAACACATAAGCAGGGTGACAAAGCCAACTATGAAAGTAGACAGAACATTTGTTCTCGATGCTAAAAGATTCTATCTCAAAAGCTTAATGGGCAATCTGGAAATCATCATGTGACTGATCGGCACGAAAAGAAAATATATATTTCTATATATACCATATGAAAATGTATTTCATGATGAATCTATTGGTATTGATCTGGTATTGTAAATGTTGATACAATAATTCTATAAACTTGGTCAAAGTTTGTTTAACTTGACCAAATTTTATATGCACTATTTGGCAAGGAGGGAGTACTTAATAGTGGACATCTCTTAAAAGGAATCAAAATCAGATTGAGCGTTCTATGTACTAGACTTTATTTGGACTTGCTTAAATTAGACTACAACAGAACCACAATGGAACTTCCAACTTGAAGGCTTCTACTATCGGGCATTGTTTTTAAGGCATCCCTAAGGCGTCGCCGTCGCCTAGGCGTCAAGGCGTCAGCCTTGCCTTACGTGCATGCCTAAGGCGTCCGCCTTAGTCCATAGGTCATCCAAGGCGTCCGCCTAGGCGCCATTCTTCCCGCCTTAGGCAAATGAAGACGCCTTAGACAGGGCAGGGAGTTCAAACAGAGCTCTGGGCGCGAAGAGAAGGGCGGGAAACAGAGTCTGGGCGCCAACAATTACTAGCAGGGGGAGAGAGAGCCCTAACCAGTTTCCGTTTTCCCCCAACCCCATCTCTGGCGGATGGATCTGAGCTTCTCCCCATCCTCTCCAGCAACTTCTCCCCCTCCTCTCCGGCTGCTTCTCCCCCTCCTCTCCGGCTGCTTCTCCCCCTCCTCTCCTGCAGATCCGCCTCCC